CTTTTTTGAGTAAATTAAAAAAAAATGTTTTTTTTGTAAATTTTACATATAAAATTGAGTAAGTCATCTCATTTGATTTATATTTAATTTAAGTGTAGAGGACATGTCCTATGACTGATAACGTTCTGGAGCATTATTTCGTGATGATACAGTATATTTTCACTCATACATATATAGCAAGATTGATTAATTGAAAGACTGCATTAGATAATTAGATACAGTCAACCCTCTCTAAATGCAACTCCCCTAAATGCAGCACCCCTAAATGCATGATAATCATTGGTCCCACAATAGGCTTTATAAATAAATGCACATTCTTTATTCCGTAAATGCATGCTATTTTCCTAGCCTGTGTATATAAGTACCTCATAAATGCAATCACATGATTGTTGCCTAATCACAAATCAGCACTCTTCATATATATGTATCGCAATTAGCTCTATAATATGCAGATACATACGGATCAAAATCCCAAAGTACAGATTCTCGAAAGGATATAATACTGATTAAATCGGCTAGCATTATAGCAAATGCTAGCTAACTTTGCCAGTATTATGTTCTTTTGGGAATCTGTTCTTCAGGATTTTGACCCAAATTTATACATATATACTTACATACATATGTACGTTTATATATCAGATATATGTACTTATCATTATGGAATACAATAGCTTTTTCAAAGAATATAACAATTATTGCTAGAGCTTGTTTTTTTTTTAACCCAAAATAACAGTTATTGTATGACTTGTTTATTATTACCATTTATTGTTAGAGCTTTTAAAAATTTTTAAAAGTAATCTTGGTTGCAATCATAGTGGGATTAGAGATGAAAGCATTCGAATAGTATTAAAATCTGCAATTTGTTAGGCTGAGTAAATTTTGGGGTCATAAGAATTAATCAAAAAATTTTAATTGTCAGTTTGCTTCTTTTTGGAATTAATTCTGCATGTAAAACTACTTTACAAGTTAAGGCACATTATAAAATGAATTTCTATAACTATTAAAGAATAATTTTTTGATTCTGCAAATCTGTTATATGTGAGACTTTGAATTCTACGAGTACGTAGTTATATTACATAAAAGTTCAAATTATATAAAATAAAAATCAATTATAACCCCAAAACTGGAATCAACTTTCAGCCCGAGGCTTCATTCCATTTTATTGTGCTTTGCAAAACTATATGGCCTCTGCAAATTAAGAATTGAAAATTCTATAAATTTTAAGAATTTTATTGATTTCAAAGATAAATATAGCCTAGAAAATATAAAGTAATAAATGAACTGAATAGAAAATTTTCTTTAAAAAAATCCTGTAAACACATCTTTTTGCAAAACGTTACAATTTGAACTCGTAAGATTAGTATCGTTCTTGGCTCAAAGTTTAGTAAATTTAGAAAAAAATTGATTATAATTTAACCAAAACAATGAACTTATGCCAAATACTAATTTTTAAAATTGTGTATAAATGCATTCATGCTGGTTAAGATAAGCACCTAAAATCTTCAGGACACATATATAGCATATCACTAATTTTAGGCGATAACATTTCTTGTTTGAAATACCTGCGTGTGAATGCATAAACACACACATATTGTGTGCTAGACTCATCAATACTATACCTTGTATCTCGCACCTGATATGCAATTGTTTTTTGAATAGTTTCTTGTGTCTTTTTTTTTTTATAGTTTTAATAGGATTGCTAATATCCTTTTAAATAATTAATAAATAATTAGAAATTAACCTCGTTTAAATAATAATTTGTAAATATAAATGAAAGCATATAATTGAGGCAAATAAATTTTTTTTTTAATAAATAACTTTGTGCATCGAATCACTCTAGTAGTAAAATACTATTTAAGTAATAAAATTGTTTTTTTAAAATATTGTAACAAAAAAAAAATGTCTTCTAATAAATGCAAAGATAAGACCACTCTTACTAACCAACAAAGACAAGAAATCATTACATACAAAAGTAAAATCCTAATATTAGTAATATTGAACTTGTAGAGTGAGTAAAGAAAAACTTTCAACTTGACATTTATCTAACCACTATTGGGCGTTTTATAAAAAATAAAGATGATATTGAAAGTAATCCCTCTAAGAAAAGGCAAAGAACAGTTCAACATCCGGATCTCGAAAATGCATTGCTTGAGTGGGTTTTACAAAACCAAGACAGAATAATATTAAGCAATGCAATTCTAATTGAAAAAGCAAAAAGGTTTGCTCAAATATTACAAATACCTGACCTCAAGTTCTCACAAGGTTGGCTATACAAGTTCAAAAAAAAGCACAGATTGGGATGAGTAAAAAAGCATGGAGAGGATATTTCTGTAGATGACACCATTGTTGCTGCTGCTATTCCTAAGTTGAAAGAGATATTAGAAGAATATGATCTAAAAGATATTTATAATATGGATGAAACTAAGAGTGTGGTGACTTAGTGAAGTTGGCAAGTTGTTGCACCCCCAAGCAGCAAGACTAGAGTTCGAATCTCACTGGCGACGAAAATTCGAATTTAAGAAAATGCATTTGGAAGACTGTATCCTATTGGGTTATAGAACCTGTAATGGTGGTCATACCAGCTTGTACTGGGAGGTAGTGGAACATGTAGTATGACATACTAGTTACACGAAACCCAAGTGAAGCTACAGGATAAATCCAGCGAATTTATAGGGTATGGGAGTCTGCTTGGCAAGACTCGAGTAGAGAGGTAGCACAGATCTTTGACGGCACTACGTAAAGGATTATTTGGAAACCAGAAAACCGGATGGGACCGAAGTGTTTGGCAAGGCATTCTTCACCAACCTGGCTGTCGGAAGAGTAACTGGAGAAAAAAGAATCTAATCGTAGGGACTAAGGGCAGGTCACAGCTCTTCCAGGCTAACTGGATTAGAAGTTTGAAATAACGGGAGGATAGTCCATATAGTGGATGCTGGGGTTTGGGTGAACTCTATAAGGGCGGTAGTAGGTAATAGTAGCGGCTTCAGCTCGCAAGTACTTGTCCTCAGATTCAGCATAAATTACCGAAAGCCTAGGTTAACCAGATTGTGAGTACGGAAAGCTTTAGCGACGATGCCTCGAGGATAAATTAGTCCTAAGGGTATAGGTGAGCATCTGGAACTTTGTAAGATGTAATAGTAATACAGGGAGAGTTGCATTACAGAGGGTTTAATTGGATAGCTCAAGTAATAGTGGGTTATAGGTACAACATCTAGTATAGAACCTAGCAATAGGTAGATACTTAATTAGGCGCTCAAAAGGCGTAGGTATGACTAGTATGTATTCTCTAATGTATAGGGTTGGGATGAGCTCTTCACTCGGTAAATACCTGAATAAAAACCTTAGTCCCAAAGAGGCTAGAAAAAAAAAAAAATAATAATAATAATATAGATGAAACTGGATTATTCTATCGGTATAATAAATTATTGTTAATTGGGATCTTTGCTAGAAAAATAACTCTTTAAAACTATATAAATTTTATTTATAAAATTTATATAATCTCAGAGGGTTATTTTTCTGAATTTGGATCAATATTTCAAAAATCAAAACCTAATTATAATACACTAAATCCTAAGTTATAATCCCGGAAGGTAATTATATTCTTTAACACTATAACCTTTCAAGATTATAACTTTTTGGGAATATATCTTTCGGTATTATAATCTTTCAGAATCATGATCTTTCAGGATTATGATCTTTCAGGATCATGATCTTTTGGAATTATAATCTTTCGGAATTGTAATTTTTCAGAATCGTAATCTTTTAAGACTTTTTTTTAATATTAGTTTCTAGGATCGGAATTTGATCTTTCAGGGTTTAGCATATAGGAATTTAGTATCTTCAGGATTTTGATTTTTGTAATATTGATTCAAATCCATTTTATTAGCAAAAATTCTAATTGATACTTATTTTCATTAATTTTTTTTTTTTTTTTTTAGCCTTAAACCCGATACTACTTTGGCTACTAAACGTCTTAAAGAAAAAAAAAAGATTTAGAGCAGTTGACCTTGGCACTTTGTGCCAATGCTGATAGTACAGATAAAATGAAAATATTAGTAATTAGTAAGTCTCCCAACCCACGCTGCTTTAAAGGTATTAATCGCAACAAGCTTGATATTACATATAAGACAAGTAAAAAAGCATGGATGACAACTGTTTTGTTTCAAAAGTGGGTTAAAGATCAACTTGAAGATGGCTGGCCGCAAGACAATTCTTTTAGTAGATGGTGCAAAAAGTCATTCTGTCAAAAACTTAACCCTTTACAACACAACTGTACATCACCTTCTCCCAAACACAACATCTCATATTCAGCATATAGATGCTGGTATCATTATGTCCTTCAAGTGTCATTACTGTAGTTATTTCGTAAAATGGTTGCTTGATAAATATAAAGCTGATGATAATGAAAAAATAAATATTCTTACTGTTATAAGGTTTATTTTTAGAGTATGGAGAGAAGTATCATCAGAAACTATATATAACTGCTTCCGATATACAAAAATTCTTTCAGGTAGTGTTATAAATCATCAAAATTTTTTTGATTAGTTGTTGCTAGTGTTTAATATTAAAATTTGATTTGATGTTCTCAAAAAAAGTTTTGTTTGAATTCTTAATGTTTTCAAAAAATTTTTATATTTTTAGTATTAGAAAATCAAATTTTTTTAATATTAAAAAAATTTGTCAAATATTCTCAAATAGAGAGCATTTCTAATAATTCATGTTCATAAAAATTGTTAAATGTTCTCAAAGAACATTGAGAATATCAAAATTTAAACACTGGCTGTAACTAATCGATCAATCAATAAATTGATTAATCAATTAGTTGATATTAAAAAGTTCAATTGATTGGTTATCAACTAATCGATTATTTCAATTTTCGGTTTGTAATACTATTTCCAGAAACCCAAGATAGCGAAGAACCCTCTATTGATGATAACAATGATAAATTAATAGATGAACTTTATGCAGATATTGAAGCACTTAACTTTCTAAATGTAATGGATCTTGAGGAATTTATCGATTATCCAGGTGAAAATGATACATATGAAGTATTAAGCAATTAAGAAATTGTAGAACTGGCTACTAATATTGAATCTGTAGAGAATGAAAATGCAGAAGAGGAAGATAATAGCACTAAAATGTGTCAAATTAGCCATCAAGAAGCATTCAACGCAATAGAAACATTTGAATACTATATTATGCAGAATGATTTTAGTAAAAGAACCCAGTTGGAGCATGATGAAGCTTTATTAAACTTGCAAAAAGAAATAAGAAAGCTTCAAATTGCATCTTTCAAGCAAGTATTGAAAGTTATTTTGAGCTGGTTTGAATTATGGAAATAAACTACTTAACATTAAAGAAAAAAAGCAATAACAGTAATCTTTTAATAAAACTAACCTTAAGTTTTTGTTCTATAAAAATGATCTTGATGTCGAAAAAGTGTTAGCAAAATCATCATAAAACTTTAAATTATTAATGCTAATGAAACCTTATAACTGTAGATCATTGTGATACATTAGACCAAATTCATATTTCTAAGCAAGACATTTCTATACAAATATTTTTTTCATTATATTGTAGTATTATTAAATTTTTTTTGTTAGTATATGTAATGATAGCAAAATAGCGAAAAAAATTTATTATCAATTATATATATAAATATGTAGATTTATTATTAGTTGAAATATATCACTTGATTTATATAATACTGCAATATAATTGGCTGATCTCTAATTGCAACCCCCTAAATGCACACCTTAGAACCCATCTCATTAATGTGCATTTAGAGAGGGTTGACTGTACTATTTTTAAACACATATTAAAGAGCTCATTACTATACTTGAATCCTTAATATGAGTTTAATGATTATACTATGTTTCTGGCTTAAATGTAACTATATCATGCAACTATTCTAAATAAATAAAAAAAATTTTAAATTTTAAATTAAAACAAACTAAAATATATAATGATAAAAAGATATTAATTTAATTAGTAAAATTATTTTAAAGTACTTTAAAGTTTAACAGCATTACATTATTTAGTTACTAACTGCTAATGCTTCGCAAAATAGATTTGAGATTCAGATTCGATTTAGATTTGATTTGACAAAACTATTTTGGATTCGATTTGACAAAACTATTTCGAATTCCATAATTTACAAATCCTACAAATCTGAAAATAGATCAGAATCTTTTAAAATATTCACCTGTTATAGTATTATAGTATCTTGACATACTAGCATTACAGTATTGTAGCATTATGGCAAAAAAATATGGCACATACCGTTGCTATATTAGTTTACAAAATCAATTCTACTAATAATATAATATAATTAGGATAGCTGCGTGACGTAGTCGCACTTAAACCAGAAACATAATACAATTAGATGCTTTATTAAAGTAAACGCATCTTTGTTTTTCACTTTAATTATTAATGAAAATATATAAAAGAAATTCCAAATGATGTAATTACTAAATTGTATATTGTCAAAATACAACTCTTTCCGTTGATCTGCAATTTTTAATCAGTCAAAACCAAAATCAACAATTATCTCCAAATCTAGTATAAGAAACAAGGTATCTTGTACTAAGAGAAAAGAAAGAAAGAGCACTTTAAATAACCTATAGTTTATTAGAAGAAGCTTTTACCCAAGATCTTTAGTTTAGTGACAACAAATTTTTTAAAAATTTTTAGAAAATTTTTGAAAAATTTTGGAGAATTTGCCTAGACCTTGAAAATCTGATCTTAAAACATGTAAATAACAACAAAACAACAAACATGTAAGATCAGAAAAATAAACAAACAAATAAATAGCAGATCACATTACTATTTTTAAAATTAACGAAAAAACAACAAGTAAACAAACAACACACGTGCTATTATCAAGAACTAAAAGATTTTTCTAGAAAATGCACTAGATTTTAATACAACAAAGTAGAATTTAAATCAACTTGTAAAGATATTCATACAAGAATTCTGACACACAAAATTATGACAACTCTAAAGAATATCAAGGATGTATTTTCAAAGCCAATAGAGAAAAGACAAGAAATATATGAATCACAAATAAGATTTACTATTCAAATAGATAAATGTCTAGCAAATTATCTGGAAGAAGAGAATCCAAAATATATATCATTTATTTGTATAGCATTAGAAAACTACAAGATAGTATTCTAAAAGTTTTCAAAAGGCAACAAATTAAACTTAGAAGATTAAGAACTAATAGGAATAGACCCAAAAACTAACATGATTGAGTTTAGAAATTTGATTATGAAAAGGCCACAAGAAAAAGAAACCAAGAATACAATAACTACTATCGAGACTGAAAGAGTGATCTCACCTTTTGTACAAGTAAAAATGGAGATTAAAGAACTTACTATGCAATTAGTTCTCAATAAGCCAACACAAAAAAGAAAACATACAGACCTAAATGAAAATAAAGAAGAAAATAAAGAAGGTTCGAAACTTAAACGTCAAGATAATAATTCAGACAAGGTCACAGAAGCAATATTGAATGAATCAGAGAAAGAAATTCTTGAAAGCTCTGATGATAAAAAGTAGAAGATGAAATAATTCTACTATATACAGAATGTGGATCACATGATCAAGGAACAAAAGAAACCAAAAACCTTGTATTATTAAGATATAGCAAAAGAACAGTTGTAGTTCTTCCTAAAAAAGAAAAGAAGAAAGAAGACAACATCATTCATGAAGATATATATAGATCTAGGTGGGCTTCTAAAAATATTAATAACTCAACCTAGGCTTCAAAAAATAGATCGAAGGAGAATCTACAGAAAAAAGAAATGTCTCAAAGCTCTACTAAAACAGAAAAAACCAAATATTCAAAATCTGAATGCAAATTAACCTTATAGAACTTATCAAAAAATACTTGGTCTAACAGAGTAAAGAGATGTCTTAGTTTCTATGACAAAGCAAAAATCTTAGAATGGAAAGAGGTTCAACAAGAAGTAAAGAAATCAAAAGCAACCTATATACAAGTTATATACTAGAATCAAGAAAGATTTAAAGCATTACAAAAAAGTTGGATAGTTCATTTTGGGGAAGAAAGTATATGCAGAATAACCCAAGTTACTTTAACAAAGCTGAGCTTATTAATAGAAGGAAGTATGCAGCAAGACTACAAGATTTTCTGTGTAATACCCTTGAGTCCTCTTTATTTAGACAACTTAAACCAAGCAAAGCCAAGGCAGTATATATCCCAAGTAATAGCAATAAAAATAGAAGAAGTATTGTACTTGTATACTTTAGTAGTGAAGAAGATTGTCTAAAAGCACAGAAAAGACAAATATACTACTACAACAAGAAACTTACTTGGATGGACCACAAGGAAGAAAAAGAGAAAAAACTAATATATGCAGAAGTTGTAACAAAAAAGATAGAAGAAAGGTCTGGTAATGAAGAAACTTCATATAAGAAAAAGGCAAAAGAAGGAAAAAACAAAGAAAAACAGACCTAATTAAAGTAGAAAAGAAGAAAGAAGAGAAAAAGCAGACAGAAGAATGCCCTTAGATTAACAAAGAACTAGAAAGAAAATTTATCAAAAGCCTACAAACAGAAGAAAAAGAAGAGAGAGAATTGGACTTAGCAAGCAGAATCGACTAACATCAAAGTATACTACAAAAAATTCTCAACAGACTTGATCAACTGAGCAAATAGCAGGCTATGCCTGCTAATCGCTTCTAAAAATTGCCTTAGTTGATTTAAAGAAAATGACAGTAGAGGTAATCCCCTTTCTATTACTAAACAATACAGCAAGTTCAAGTCTAATTTAATATACCTCAAGAAGCCATCAAACAATTAATAAAGGAAAGGGCAAAGCTAAATATAATCAGATAGAAAATGATAAAAACAATTTTAAAGAACCAAAAATAATCCTCAGAAACAAAGATAGTCAAGTAGAATTGGGGATTGCTTGCCATAATATAAATAGATTGCAAAACAATAGACAAAAACTAAAAGCATTATATGAATGGATAGTAGATAATAATATAGATATTCTAGGAATAGCAGAAACAAATATTTCTAGCAAAGAAGGTGTTTTTGAAATATCACAGGTTGAGAATTTCAGAAGCTTCTGGTCAAATGCAAACCCAAATAAGAAAAAAGGCTCAGGAGTGAGTCTAATTATAAGCAATTAATAAGAAAAACACTTGAAGCAAATTAAAAGAAGAAATGAATATCTAATAATAGCTAGCTTTATATTTAAACAGCTTGAAGTAATTGTAACAATAGTCTATTTGCCTCCAAATAATAAGTAAGAAAGAAGAATGATCCAAAGAAAGATTTTAGAAAGATATATTAATCGATCTAAGAAAGCCCAAATAATAGTTATAGGTGATTTTAATTGTATTTTGGATACTTATTGAGACAAATTGCATAGCAATGAATATAAATCATTTAAGGTTGATCTATTCATCAAATAGTTTGAAGACTCATTTAGACTAATAAACCCAAGATGCAAGAAGTTTTCCTGAACAAATGGAGAACAAAGCACAAGAATTGATCAGATTTAAATAACAGATAACCTAATCAGCAGGTGGATATTCAAGATATAGACATCTTTACTGGCAGTGACTATGGAGCGATACTTGTAAAAATAGAACTAGGACATTTGATATCTTTAGTTAGTTATGCAGAACTCAAAAGAGAAAATTTTAGTAAATCAGTTTTCCTATATGATAAGGCAACAAAAGAAAACTGAGATAATTATAGAATAGAAGTAGAAAGAATCCTTAAGAATAAGGGAAATCTAATACAAGATCTTTCGAATTTTAATTATTCCTTAAAAGAAGAAACACAGAACTTGCTAGATGAAGCATGAGACTTAATTAATAAAAGCATACTAGCAGCAGCTCAAAAAATGCTTCTTAAAAAGAAAATTCCAAATATACTAGCAACTAAACTAAAGTGAAAAAAGAAATCCAAACTATCACAACTTACAGTCTATTTGGGTAGATGGATAAGCTTGGGTAGAAAAAATCTCAAACTACAGTATATAACCGAAGATATTCAAGAATTTAATGAACAGATTAAATACATCAATTTCTGTTGTGGAACTTATATAGAGGAAATTCAGAACTGTTAGACACAAGAAATAATCAATAACCTAAAGGGTTAGTAGAAAATTCTCAATAAAAGAAGAATAGAAGAACTTGAAAGAATTAAAAATGATGAAATAAATAGAAATATTGAACAAAAATGTCAAATGATAGATAAACAACAAGAAAAGATATTAACAAGCTTACTCAATAAGCCAATTAGAAAAATCAATATAGACAGACTATTTGAAGAAAACAACCTTACAAGAAGGCTGATT